CGGGCGAGCTGGCGGCAAAGAAGGACGCTTTATTGCAATTGGGGTGACATTCTAGAAATTTTACGCCGTGAAAGCGCAGCGGAGATTCAGAGAGAAGTAATGACATGCCGGGAATGCGTCGAGAGAAACAAAGTGAGGACCGAATAAGGCCACCGAAAACGATTCGTAATAATCCAACCGTATTTAGATATGAGATTAAAGAGAAAATGTGTCGTTAATAGGCAGGCATATCCTGGAAAAAAATAGCGTTTTTATTCTTTTTTTCATGAGTTCTCACTAAAATTAAAATAAACGTCTGGATTTATAAATTAATTATGCTAGTTGTAAGTTAAATGGTAACCAACATACATTCGTTTTTTCTATTCCGCTGATATGGTCATTTTAAGAGAGAATAAATTTCTCCAGAAATTACATGCATTTCCGTATGTATATATATATATATATATTTTATGGAATAATTTCAATAGCTCAACAAAAGTTCATGTAAATAGCGAATGGAAAGGGTCTCGGTGCGGGCGAGGAAGAGAAAGAAGCCGAGAGAAGAAAGCGAGAGGAAAGAAGTGAGACGGAAGGGTGAAGAATCGCCAAAGGCCAGGATGGAAAGAGGGAGTAGAAAACGAGGGAGAACTACGGTCTGCCTCGGAGTCGCCCGAGGCGTCACGGAGCGCATTGTCTCGCTGGATATCTTCGGGGCAACATAGATCCCTCTCTTTGTCTCTTTCCCACATCCTTCTGGCTCGCCTTTCGACCACCTCTCTCTCTCTCTCTCTCTCTCACTGGGACACGAAGGTGGAGAGGACGCGAAGCTCGCCGCTATCTCTTCTCGTTTCCGCGCCTGCAGCGAAACGACCGTGCCTCCACCGCACCACTTCATGGTGGGGTGTAGAGTACCGCGCGTCTAACCCCGGGGGTATATCTCTCGCGCACAGCGATAGGGATGAACGCGAAGAGAAGAAAGGGGAAAGACGGCGCGGTGTCCTTCTTCTTCTTTCATGGTGCACAATCCCGCACCTTCACCCGCGGGCCAACCGAAACGACTCGCGTATACGTATATACATATTTTAATATGTGTACATGTAGGTGCACGAGCAAGTAAGTACACGCATGCATGCACGCGTGCATGCATGCATGCAGGCAGGCAGGTAGGCAGGCAGGCAAAGGCAGGTACCTATACGTGGTACCATCACATCGCCAGCATTTGCCTGCATCGCTCGCGGCAGGGCTGCGCCACCTCCTCCCCCTTCTTCTTGAACTTCGCATTCTACTTGCTTGATGGCATCATTTATCGCAAGAAAAATAATGAGATTAGGATAATCTACCCACCGCGGGCGTTACTGTGCGCTTTGCGAAATTTACTTTCAAAGTTCTTCATCGGTACTTTCCGTTTCGCTCTTTAAAGCACTCGTATGTATGTGTATGTATATGTGTGTGCGCGCGCGCGCGCGCGAGAGATAATATGTTATCGCCGTTTCGTTATCGTAGTCTCGTTGAAGTTGCTGTGCTCCTCGTATCTTCCCCGTCGAGTAACCCTGGGGGTGTCCTTCTTGCTGATGCTGCGGGCGGTGAGTCGTGGAAGGGATGAGCTTCTTCTTGTTCCACGTAATATTATGCGCTTTTACCCCCGGGCCAGCCGAAACAGCTCTTGCGCGTGTACGTGCGTGTACCGTCATATTGGCATCTGCCTGTATCGCCAGCGGCGACACAACTCTTGCTTTTTCTTCTTCCCTTCGCATATTTTTCAATTGCGCTCGTTATGAGAGAAATAGAAAAAGAAATTTCAAGCAAAATTGAGAATGGCGATATTGCGGTCCGATGGAAATGCCAACGACTCTGTGTGTGTGTGTGTTACGACCTTTTAACGTTATTTATTTTCCAACTTGTCTCCTTCGTTCCTGTAATTATCACGTTATCTACTCCACCTTTACACCTGTTTTTTCTCATTTGCCACATGCTCTTCAGTACAGAATGTGTATTTGACCGTACTAATTTTATAAAATATGTATCTGACTGGTATTGGAAAGATAGAATGTGGAAAGTACAAAGTTACGTTTATTTGCTTCATTGCGTTTGCAAATTTATACGATTTTACATTTGGATTAAGTCAAATGATTTTTATACATCTCTCTGTGCGCGATTGCGTATATTCATCATATTGAAATCTCGTCTTTTACTTTTTCTCTTACAATCTGTTTGTTTCAATTTATGTTTTCCCCAAAAATGATTATTATGAAAGAAAACAAAAGAAAAAGATAAAAATGACCTTATTATTTTTATGCAAATAAAATGAGGCAAATTACTTATTATTATTGTATGTTTCGTATTATATTTGTATGTTTCATATTGCTTCTTCTCGTTTCCTTTTCTACGCAATTCGTAGAGGACCAACCAATACGGTTTTGTATGTGCAAAGATATATACATATTATCCTACGTTCTCTCTTTGGCTGCATTGCCCTTGGCGAAGCGTACCCTTTCCCCTGTACACCATCTTCCTTCTTCCTTTTTCCTCCTCTCACTCGTTTCTGTCCTTCTTTTGGCCGCCTCTCTTGTACATGTTGTTCCTTGACCGACCTCTTGTCAACCGTCTCAGCTCGCCTCCGCTCCGGGCAACTTTTCTTTCCGGATAAAACTTCACGGTATATTCCGCTTGCCTTCCTCTCCTCTTCCTTGTTTTCTACCCCATTCCCACTTTTTTGACTTGTCTTTAAAATTATGATTGTTCGAAGAATATGAAAGGAATACTCGAAAATGGTTAATAACATCATCGATGAAGCTTAATTTGATATGAAATTTGATAATTTGTCTAAAATTAATTGTGTGTAAGAAGATGGAAAATGCAGTTATCATTTCAAAAAAGTTATTATAATCTATCTTAACCAGCAATTTAACTTGTTATTTAATATATTGTTATTTTTTGGGTGAATATTTATATTCGATAGATTTTAATTCTTGATCGAATATGTTGTTGTTGAATCAGTTGATAATCGTGATATTGTCGATGGGAGATCAGATTTAAGAAGATCGAAATAATTATGACTAATTGTAATTAAGAAATTTTTATTTAAAAAGGTTTTACATTTGTATTAAGTTATATTTAATTTATTGTAGTTTGTGTATTGGAGCATATCATAAATTCAAAACATTTATTTTGAAATTATATATACACTGCAATTTTTAAAAGAAATTTATAAATACCGATATACTATATGTATAATAAAATTATAATATATATGACTCACAAAACCTTTAAATTATAAAATAAGTAATTCAATTACTAGAAACTTTTTAGGACCGTATAATTGATAAACAATAATAAACTAGAAGAAGAAAGCCAATTACGGTCAAAGCTGGATCACAGTGCTTATTATAATTGTGTGAATTTTATATACTGCGTATGTAGTCCCCCCCATAAATCGCGACGCTGATAGTTTTTCAGCCTTGACGCATACATACTTATGCAGTAATATCACTTAGTTAAATTGACAAGCAATCTAACAATTTTTGATGCTTATAGCATCTTAATAATAACGAAACGCCAACTCGTGATATTCTTCGCAATCTCATTTTTCACAGATTTAGATTTATCATTACTTCAACTTTACATCGTTAAAATTTAATATATGTCTTTCAACATATTATTAAGATCCAATAAGATGCTATAAGCATCAAAAATTGTTAGATTGCTTGTCAATTTAACTAAGTGATATTACTGCGTAAGTATGTATGCGTCAAGGCTGAAAAACTATCAGCGTCGCGATTTATGGGGGGACTACATACGCAGTATATAAAATTCACACAATTATTATATAATAAGCACTGTGATCCAGCTTTGACCGTAATTGGCTTTCTTCTTCTAGTTTATTATTGTTTATAAGTAATTCATATACACATGACATATATGTTTAATTTTTTAATTTTTTAAAGTCTTTTATAATAGTGTGCTTTAGTCTCGTTATAGGGTAACTCCGGCAAATATAATACATATATATATATATCGCGCGAAGGTATACGCCGCAAAAAAAATAGGAGTAGGGATAATTTTCCGGCAACTACTCTGTTACATGCCTTTATGTTATATTATGTTATGATTTCAGGCTTTTATTGTTAGTATTAAAGAAATTATTGTGAATTGTATCGATTTGTCACTGTAATAAGTAGCGTCATCATAAATTATAATTTACATAAAACGATTATTGTAGGATGTGTAAAAAACTTAGTGGTTATTTCATGATACATATAAGTGTAGAGAAATAGTAAAACATGTTATATAGCAAAATACAAGTAAGCTTTTCTCTTGCATTCTTTGTTTAGTTTATTGTCTTGTACATCTCACCTATTTAGGATATACGGCATTTTTAGCGGGCGGGATTTGTGCTCAAAGCATACAAAGTGCGCAGATCGGATTCAGTACACTAAATGTAATACACTAAATGTATTACATGAAATATATACCTCATATCATAACACTTGTAATATATGTAGGAAGATTGTAATTATTATTTATTACTTTTTATATGTTATTGTGTCATTTTACGTTTTATTTATAAGAATTTGTAAATTTTCGTGAGTTGTACATACCTCCTCCACCTCCCTTAAGAGTAGTCGCATAACCCCTATGGGATATATGGCAAAAATGCAAGGGTTTCAAAAAGTTCTTTTTTTAATACGAAAAATAAGTATTTTGGATTTCTAATATTTTTTTCATAGTAGCAGACAGTACAAAGTTTTTACTGATATAGTTCGTTTACCTTAAACATAATAAATAATACTTAAAAAATGTTTTTGTTAGATGCGGCGTATATCAGAGTTACCCTAATTAAAAACCAAATAAAATTCTCTCGTATGTTGCAACAGTCTATGGACATAATATACGCTTTTATTAAAAAGAACGGATTTTTTCCAACGATAATTAAATAATGTGTATTTCTTGTATTAAAAAATTAAAAATGTTAAACACTAATCTGTTACTGTTAAACACTATTCTTTTCACATTTTGTTGTATTTTTATATTTTATTGTATTAATTAAATTAGGACTTAATAGTTGTAATCAGGATGAGATTATGAATTTTGATACTCCAACCTATCACTTAGTTTTATTTAAACCAAAACGCAACAGACTTGATTGTCTGTACAGTCAATTGTGTCGTATTGCAGAGTCGGATTACAGTTGTCTTTCGTGCAGATTCCACCATAATGACGGCAATAAGTTCTGAATTCTGATTTAACTGTAATGATAACAGATAAATTAAATAAAAAGTTTGTTTAATAATGTTACTATATAAAGAGGGGAAAATTTCTAAAATTATTAATTTCAAATGTATGTTTCCTACACATATATATACGTATAACATAGATATATCAACCAACACATATTTAATAATTTTCTTACGATAATTTATTAGATAGTTTCATTAAAAATCACGATGTGTAACGATATAACGAATTTATATTCAGAGATCTTATTCTAAAAAAAAATCGCATATAAAAAATACTAGGAAAATTTATAAAGTACTTTATTATGTATATTATAATATTTTCGTACGTTTTTGTATACTATATTTTTTAAGAATACGGCCCCTGATGATACCGTAAAAGTTGTCATCGGATAGAAATCGGGTAAAAATGAAAAATGGCGTATAACTTGATGTGTGAAAGTGTTACATACATAAATTAACATGCCAAATGTTTTCAAAATTTGTGACAAAGAGAATTTCATAAAAGCATGTATAATCAGATGCTAATCAGCATGCCGTATGAAAATCTAAATATATTTCTCTTGCAAAAGATTGACAACAATTGCACATAGATTAATATAAAATACATAGATTATATAATATGAAAAAAGATATTAAATTTTAATAAATTGTTTGTTTAAACAGTGTCAAATTAACTAAATATAAGCTAAATACAAAAATATATTTATTTGATAGAGGACTATTAGTTTGATTCAACTGTTATTTCTTTTTATTAAGTAAATACTTATTTACTGTAAGTAAATGTTTAGTTATTATTATTCAAATTAAATATTTATTAAAATTAATGTATTTTTGTCAGTGTGTATATATATATATATAAATATACAAAATATTGCGTTCCTAAATATCATAAAAATATACGATACTTATTGTTAGATTTATTATTCTACTCAATGCGCTGAAATTTTTATTATGATAATCGGTTTCTTTTCATAATCATGTTAAATGTTGCAATATTTTTATAGAAAAAAGTCAATTGCAGACTATAGGAATTGATATATGTATACAATCTGTCAAAAATTTTATCGTTTTCTACCGTTTTCTATCATTATGAAAGCGAATTCAATCATTAAAATTATATAATTCTTATAATAATTTGTTTTCTTGTTTTTTATTAGAATTTGTGATTAAATTGAATAAATAAATATTAATTAATGATTATCCTCGTAATAAATTATATATTCACGATGAAGAAATCTGAAAGTTTTTTTTATCGTACAAGTAAGAAAGAAAATCTATAACTATTGTGATGATTACATAGCCACAACGCTTATGTCCAATAAAAACATTTTTAATATTATGTCCAATAAAACATTTTTAATTGTGAACGCACGTATTGACACATTGAGATAATTACAAAGAGTGTGGAATATTGCAGAAACAGACAAATATTTACATTTAATATTAATGACACTATTAAAGCAATGAGTCTATATAATACGCAAATTAGGTAATTTTATTTAAAATAGTGTAAAAATAAAAAGGACTCTCGATACAACAAATAAAAACAAAGATATAAAGGCAAATGAGAGTCAACATTAAGAAACAAAGAATATCATTTTAACATTAATATATAAAATTTAAACACGTTACAATAATATAATATATATAAAGAAATAAACGAAAAATTTAGTCGAATTGTTCATGAATAAAATTTTACATATTTCGATCTTATATTGAGACCCTCTTCAGAAAAAACGCATTGTTATACATTTAATTATTAAACATAGTCAAAGCGGTTATCATGTATGATAACTATGCTTAATAATTAAATGTATAACGATGCGTTTTTTCTGAAGAGGGTATCAATATAAGACCGAAACATGTAAAATTTTGTTCATGAACAATTCGACTAAATTTTTCGTTTTCTTTATATATATTATATATTCTTTGTTTCTTAATATTGACTCTCATTTGCCTTTATATCTTTGTTTTTATTTGTAATTTTATTTAACTAAACATCGATCATTCTCAAATACTCTCTCTCTCTCTCTCTCTTCTCTCTCTCTCTCTCTCTCTCTCTATATATATAT